TTAATTTTATTTATTATTTTTATTTTATGTGTATGTGTGTATTGCCTGCATGTAGGTAAGTGCACCCATGTCGTGCAGTGCCCTTTAAGGTCAGAAGAGGCTGTTGGATCCCTTGGGACTGGAGTTATGGACAGTTGTTAGCTGCCATGTGGGTGCTGGGATTCGAACCTGGGTCTTCTGCAAAAACAGCCAGTGTTCTTAACCGCTGAGCCATCTCTCCAGCCCTGAGTAGACATTTCTTAACATCTTCCTAGGAAAAGTTCACCCAACACCAACATGTGCAAATAATCTACAAAAGAAAGGCAGATCCCGTGTAACACTGCAGGTCATAAGCATTTTTAATTGATTAATTAAACAGACAAGGCTTCACTGTGCTGCCCAGGCTGGTAGACTAAGCTGGCCTCCATCTCATAGGGATCTGTTTTGCCTCTGTCTCCAGAGTTCTGGGATCATAGGCATGTGTGCCACCCTGCCTAGCCTTTGTTACAATTCAGAATATAATTTTATGCACACACATACAATTATTATTATGTGGTCTTTTTGAGACAGGGTCTCCATGTAGCCCCAGCTTTCCTGGAACTCAGTATGTAGACCAGGCTGGCCTAGAACTCACAGAGGTCCCCCTGCCTCTGCCTCCCAAATGCTGAGATTAAAGGCATGTGCTACGCCCAGTGTTAGCAAATTTTTAAAACAGTATCCTTGATAACATTGGCCATCTGGGGTGAGACCCCAGGTCTTATCAGGAATTTGGCTCCAATAGTTTTTAAAAATTATTATTTTATTATTTTTATTTTATGTGTATGAGTGTATTGCCTGCATGTGTGTAGGTGCACCTGTGTGGTGTAATGCCTGTAGAGGTCAGAAGAGGGCCTCGGATCCCCTGGAACTGGAGTTACAGACAGTTGTTGGCCTCCATGTGGGTGCTGGGAATCGAACCTGGGTCCTCTACAAGAGCAGCCAGTGCTCTTAACCGCTGAGCCATCTCTCTAGCCCCTAAATAAAATATTTTAAGAAATAAGAAAAAAGATAATGAATGAATGTGGGTATGTATGATAATTAACATACCAAAGCTGTAAATGACAGTATACTCATCTTCAGTGAACACAGTGTGGAGTGGGAAGGATGCTTGAGATTTGGGTGAATGAGATATCCTACTAGGGATGAAAAGGCAGGTGAGCCTGGTGTGGTGGCAGCACGTCTTTAATCCCAGCATTTGGGAGGCAGAGGCAGGGGGATCTCTGAGCTTGAGGCCAGCCTGGTCTATATAGCGAGTTCCAGGCCAGTTGGGGCTACAGGGAGACCCTGTCTGTAAAAGGACCTCCCCCCCAAAAAAGAGAAAAGGCAGGATGGTCTAAGATAAGCATGGGTCCTCCGGGTGAGGTGGTGCATGGGATTAAGTATTTGGGAGGCAGAGACAGGTGGATCTCTGTGAATTCAAGGCCAGCCTGGTCTACATAGTAAGTTCTAGGACAGCTGGGGCTACAGGGAGACCCTGTCTCAAAAAGACAAAAAATGAAAATAATAAATAAATAAATAAGAGTTAAGAGTCAGGCTTTTTTGTTCAGTTGATTGCAATGTTGATGTGGTAATACCACAAACCTTATCTCAACAAAAAGAACACCCTCCCTCCCAAACAAAAAAAATTCCAAAAAACTACAGAACAGTAGTTTTCTGAAAATAATAAGTGTTGGATAAAGTCTGATTGTGTGTTGACCTGACCAGTGTTAAGGGGAAGGGGCCTATCTTTTGAGTTCAGTATTTCCAGCTGGGACAAGTTGAGGCTGTTGGCTGCTTAAATAATATTTTGAGTCCCCCCTCCAAATACCCTTACATAAAGAACTGGGCCAGTGACAGAACTCTCATTCTCTCCGTCTTTAAGGGATTTATTTATTTTTGTACAGTGTTTTGATTGCTGGTTATGTTTACTTGGTATGTCTGTAGTGCCTGCAAAGGCCAGAAGAGGATGACAGAGCTGCCATATAAGTGCTGGAAGTTGAAACTGGGTCTCCTGGAAGAATAGCAAGTGCTTTTAACTCTTAAGGTGCCTCTCCAGCTCCAGAACTCTCTTTAAAAAATTTTAATTTTCACTTTATGTATATGAGTGAGTGCCTGCATAAATGTATGTACACTACTGTACACTATACATAACTGGTACCCACAGAGGCCAGAAGAGAATATCACATCCCCTGGAACTTGAGTTACAGGCAGTTGTGAACCACCTGATGTGGGTTCTGAGAAATGTAGGTTCTGGGTCCTCTGCAAGAGCAGCAAGCACGCTTAACCACTGAACCAGCTCTCCAATCTCCATTCAGTGGTAGAACTGTTGTCTACCCTGCATGAAGCCTTGAGTTCCTTCCATCAAACTGCAAAACAAAATCAAGTAACAACAAAAACCTTACCTGGAAAAAAAATTATGACCCATGGTTGAAAGCTGTGGATCCAGCACCCATGTAACAAGCCAGATGTCCAGTGAACTCAGCTCCAAGGGGTGCAGCGGTGGAGGCAGGATGCTCACTGGAGCTTGTTGCTTCCAGTCGAGCTAAGAAAACATGAGCCTCAGGTTCAGGGAGAGACCCTACCTCAAAAAAATAGGTGGAGACTGATAGAAGAGGACACTTGATGCCCTCTTCTGGCCTGAGCATGTGCACAGGCACTTGTATCCACACATACATGTCCATACATTTGCTCAGACACATAAACAAACAGAAAAAATTACTTATTTGGTGTACATATCACTTTACCATTTATTAAGGATGAAATCAAATTGCATACTCATGAGAGAATTAGTTATTCTTTAGTATACTGTGCCTGCCTTTAAGTCCTGCATTGTCACTTCTAAACTGGATAACTGTAGGATCATCAACACTTTTTGAATGTAGATATTTTGTTTTAAACTTTATAGGGCAGGAGTGGTGGAACATACCTTTAATCCCAGAACTTGGGAGGCAGAGGCAGGTGGATCTCTGTGAGATCAAGGTCTGCCTTCGTTTACATAGCAAGTTCCAGGCCAGCCAGGGCTACATAGTGAGACCATCTCAAGAAACTAAAAAACTTTTTGAATTTTGTCTGTGTGTGTATGATGGACTGTGTAGGGAGGGTGGCACAGGTGCCACAGCTGCCAAGTGGAGGTCAGAGGACAACTTTGTATCATTTGTTCTCATCTTCCACCTTTCTGTCATTTCCAGGGATCAGACTCAGGTTGTTGGGGTTGCATTGTCAGGTGGCAATGGCCTTTACCTACTGAGCCATTTGCTGTCCCCAGTTTTGGACTTGTTAGTTTGTTTCCTTTTTTTTGAGACAGAATCTCGCTATGTAACCCTGACTGGCTGAGAACTCACTATATAGATCAGACTGACCTTGAACTCACAGAGATCTACCTACCTCTGCCTCCTGGGTGCAGAGATTAAAGGCTTGCACCACCATGTCAAACCCTCTTTGTTTTTTGTTTTTTTTTTTTTTTTTGAGACAGAGTTTTGTATCCCAGAGTAGCTTTGAACTCCCAGCAATCCCCCTGCCTCAGCCCTCTGCTGGCTGGGATTCCAGGTGTGCACCATAACACTTGGCTTTTACTATAGATCATTAGGGGGCAGTGATATGTACTCTGAAGTGTGGTTATAATAAATAATTGAACACACACACACAACCCCTGGTGCAGTGTCTGCTCATAGCGTTCCTCCATGAATGACAATTGGTATTACTAGGAGTCATGCTGCAGAGGATAGTTTTTAGTGGTCTTCGTGTGTATGTTCTGCAAGAGCTAATTTAATAGTGATGACTGAGTAATGCTTGTTAATGGTTGACATTACTATGTATGCTAATCATCATGTATAGCAGAGAATTGGAGAGGGGCACTGTGCACTGATTCTCATCAGTTGGTCTGAAGTGATGCTAACCTCAGTGAAAGGCGAGATCAGGCACATCGTCGGCTTACAGGATGGCAGCTGCTGATTCTGTTCATGGTAAGTCCCCCCAGTGCTCTTTTTCTTTTCTTTCTTTTATTGTGGGGGGTGGGGGAAGAATTTATTTGTCTTACATCTCCTGGGTCACAATTCATCACAGAGCTTAAGATAGGAACTCAGGGCAGAAACCTGGAGGCAGAAGCTGGAGCACAGGCCATGGAGAAACGCTAACTTACTGGCTTGCTCTTCTTTTCTTCTTTTCTTTCTTTTTGCCTGTAAACAAAATCTTATTTTTAGTCAGGAAGGATATATTTAAGTGAAAACACTTGGGTTTTCTTTTCTCCCTGTAGCCACCCAGCTGGCCTGGAACTCACTATGTAGACCAGGCTGGCCTCAAACTCACAGAGATCCATGTGCCTCTGCCTCCTGAGTGCTGGGATTAAAGGCATGCACCACCATGTCCAGTTAAGTGAAAATACTTGTTAAGTCACAAAGTATAATAATACATGTTGATAAAAGTTTTGGTATATCAAAAAATATATTTCTAGGTCAGGCATGGTGATGTACCCCTTTAATCTCAGCATTCGGGAGGCAGAGGCAGATGCATCTATGTGAGGTTGAGTCCAGCCTGATCTATATATTGAGTTCTAGGCCAGCCAGGGCTATACATAGTGAGAACTTGTCTCAAAACAAAATAAAATAAAAAAAAAACCCACAAAAATCCCAAAACCCAGACAAACAAAAGATATTGTCTCTGATGCATATACATGTGTAAATAAAATCTTAATCTACATAAAACAAAAGTTGATAAAAGAAAAATACAGCTTTATAGTAATACCTTGATACTTCAGTACCCTTGTCTTTTTTAAAAATATAATTTCTAGTAAGCCAGAGTTGTGGTACACTTCTGGGAGCTGTGGTCCCTTTCTGTGAGCAGAGCTGTGGTCCCTAACTGTGAGCTGGTGGTGGAGCAGATTGGAGGATAGAGGACTTCCCAATGTTGGGCCTCAGTTTCGGTCCTCTCTGAGGGGCTGCGTTCCCCAAAGCCCCCTCCCCCAAGGTCCCAGGTTGTGCATGGCAGTGGCTTTGCCTCTGTGTTAGACTTATGCTGGGGACAGGAAGGTTTCTGTCATTTGTATATTCTCATATTGGGAGGACTGATTCTCAATGGACTCCCACCTCCCTGGATGGCCAGCTAAGGTCTTGACTCCACAGCTGGTCCTGGGCACCCAGGCCATGACGTTGGGCCTTTCCCACTCCCAGACACCAAGAGCTTGTCCATCATTTTTCTATTTGTCTTCTACAGTCCCAGTGCACCTTAACCTGTGCCCTACGGAAAATGTAAATCACCTAGGTGAACGTCTAAACTCACAATCTGGGAAGTTAAAATTTTTTCTTTCCTCTCTCTCTCATCTATCATCATCATCTACTTATCATTATACTTTCCAGAGCTTTTTTTTTGAGATGGGGTCTCATTATATAGCCCCAACTGGCCTGGAACTTGCTATGTAGACCATGCTGACTTTGACCTCTCAGAGATCCACCTGCCTCTGCCTCCTGAGTGCTGGGATCAAAAACATGTGCCACCATGCCTGGCCCTAGAACTTTTTAAAAAGATTTATTTATTTTATTTATTTATTTATTATTTATTTATTTATTTATTTTTGGTCTTTTTGAGACAGGGTTTTCCTATGGCCCCAGCTGTCCTGGAACTCACTATGTAGACCAGGCTGGCCTTGAACTCAGAGATCTGCCTGCCTCTGCCTCCCAAGTGCTGGGATTAAAGGCATGCGCCACCATGCCTGGCAAGATTTATTTTATTTTTAATTATGTGTACTTTTGCGTGTGAGGGGGTTAGGGGTATGTAAGTGCAAGTGTGTGTAGCTGCCCACCAGAGGTCAGAAGAGGGCATTGAATCCCCTAGAACTGGAGTTAAAATTGTGGGTGCTGAGAACTGAACCTGAGTCCTCAGCAAGAGTAGCCAGTACTCTTAACTGCTGAGCCATCTCTCCAGCCCCCTATGTATTAGGGATTAAACCCAGTGCCTTCCTCAGTCTTTTGATTTACCACTATGTTAAATATATAGTAATTTTTAACTTTTTAACATTTTTATTCAAGAATCTCATATGTACATACAATTAATTTTGATCATATTTGCCTCCTGCTCCTCCCCCCTGACTCTTTCCCAAGTCTACCCAAGCTCCATCCTTTCCCAACTTCAGGTCTTCATGTTTCTCTCTCTCTCTCTCTCTCTCTCGACAACTTCAGCGAGTCAGTTGTCTCTCTCTCTCTCTCTCTCTCTCTCTCTCTCTCTCTCTCTCTCAGTCCAATTTGTGCTGCCCATATACTCATGGGTGTGAGGCCATCCACTGGAGCATGGTTGATCTACCAGGGGCCACCCCCTTAAAGAAAACTGACTATCCCTCTCCCAGAAGCCACGGCTCCTGTCATGTCTAAAAGATACAGTTTCACCCCAGTTCTCCCCAACCTCTGGCTCTTACAGTCTTTCTTCCCCTTCAGCAGTGGTTCCTGATCCTTGTGGGAAGTGACATAATATCGTCTCCCATTTGTGGCTGAGCATTCCACAGACACTTATTCTCTGCACTTTGACTTTTTGTGAGTTTCTGAGTTTCTGCATTAACTGCAGCTCACTGCATGAACTCCTCTGATGAGGTCTGAGAGCTGCACTAATCTATGGGTATAAAGATAGGAATTTAGAGGGCAGTTTGCTACTATAGGCGTTTAGGAAAATAGTAGTATTATGTTCACACCTGACCTATGATAGTCTCAATCATTCTTGGCTAGGTTTACAGTACTAGGTATGAGGTTCTTCTGTAGAGCTGGCCTTAAATCCAATCAGAAAGCAGTTGGTTACTCCATGACATTCATGCCACTATGGTACCCATGGGGGTATCTTGCCATGCTGGTCAGCATCATGATTCACAGAGTTCACAGCTGGGTAAGACTCTTGATAACACTTCTCCCCCCTCAACCCCCAGCAGACTCCATAACACCTTTCAGTACTGTGAAAGCTACTAGGCAGGGAGAAAACATCCTATTCAGTACCAACTTGTCTGCTAAGTACCATAGTGTCTCCAGGTACTCTGTCTAAAGTATGTGGTGTCTTCAGCAATAGGGTCTTACTATCAAGTTCTGGTGGGCAATCAGGAGAAGTGGCAATAGTCTGTATTGTTTGGGGCATTTCTGGGACACCTCTGAGCAAGGCTCAAGGAGAGGTATCCCACACCTGGCACTGGGCTTTTTATTTGGCAACCTATGGCTTCTAGGGGGAAGCATTGTCTCTTATGTAGGGTAACTCCAATTAAACTCTTTTATATGAATATACGAATATATTAATATACAAAGCATATATAATAGTAGGCTTTCATATGACTGTTCAGCATCCTTAGAATTAGTTATTCCTCCCCAGATTCCTCCTGTATCCTACCGTCCTCTCTCCACTTAAAACTCCATCCGCATTATTCCTTTTCCTTCATATCACCTGTGTTCCACTGTTTCCTTCCCTTAAGATCTTTCTTTCCCTTCCCTACCAATGGCCCCTTTCTAGTTTCCTGAATTCCACAGATGCTCCAAGTTAAATACACATATCTAAATATTTGGTTACCTCACTCAGTATAATGTTTTCCAACTCCATCCATTTGCCTGCAGATTTCATAATCTTGTTTTTCTTTACAGCTGAATAAAATTCCATTATATACAGATACCACAGTGTCATTATTCATTCGTCAGTTAATGGACATCTAGGCTGTTTCCATGTCTTAGCTCCTGTGAATAGAGCAGCAATGAATATGAATAAGCTTGTGTCTCTGTAGTAGGATACTGAGTCCTTTGGGTATACGCCAAGGAGTGGTATAGATGGATCATGTGGTAGATCCAAATCTAGGGGGCGGGGCTTGGTTTGTTTTTTGGTCTTTTTTTGAGACAGAGTCTTCCTGTAGTCCCAGATGGCCTGGAACTTGCTATGTAGACCAGCCTGGCTTCAAACTCACAGAGATCCACCTGCATCTACCTCCCAAGTGCTAGGATTAAAGGCATGCACCCCCACACCCAGCTCCCATATCTAGGTTTAAAAAAAGAAGTTTTGTATTTTGTGCATATGAATGTTTTCCCTGCATGTAAGTACACTATTATGTGTGCAATGCTTGTGGAGGTCAAAAGAAGGTGTTGAATCCCCTGGAACTGGAGTTACAGATGGTTAATAGTTGCCATGTAGGTGCTGGGGACTGAATGTGGGTCCTTTGCAAGAGCAGCCAGTGTTCTTAACTACTGAGCCATCTCTCTGGCCCCCACTTCTAATTTTTGAATTTTTTAAAATTTATTTTTATTTTACGTGTATGAAAGTTATGCCTGCGTGTATGTTAAGTGCACCTATGTTGCTCATGGAGGACAGAGGTTGGATCTCCTGAAACTGGAGGTACATACAGCTGTTAGTTGCCATGTGTATGTGGATAGAAGCTCAGGTCTTCTGTAAGAACAGCCAGTGCTCTTACCTGCTGAGCCATCTCTCCAGCACCCCCTCTATTTCTAGTTTTTGAGGAACTACCTCACTGATTTCTATAGTAACTGAACCAATTTCCTGTTTTTTTTTTAAATATAAAAGTTATGTTTTTTAAAATTTATTTATTTGGGGTGTGTGTGTGTGTGTGCCATGATGACCTTGAACTTCTGATCCTCCTGCCTTCACCTTCCAAGTGCTGTGATTACAGGTGTGCATCACCATGTCGTTTTATGTTAGGTGTAGAACCCAGGGTCTCATGCATGGTAGGCAAACACTCCACCGACTGAGCTATAGCTCCCACCCTGGTAAAGTAGCATTCCTCAGCACGTAAGTTTTACTTGTGAAACAAGATTATTATTAATAGATAGAATTATCCTAACAAGTAGCACAGCTTACCGTTCTTCCTTCTGGCTATTGGTGGGACAGACATGTTTTAACATTGTATGTTATGTTGAGGGGGGAAAGAACCGTCAAATTCACCAGAGAGAGAGAGGACAGAGGGACAAAGAAAGAGGAAAAGACAAGGTAGAGAGAAAAAAGAAAGATGGAGAATACGGGGAGGAGAGATCGCGTGGTGTTAGAATGTGGGGCCTTTTGTAGTAGAATGTAGACCTTCTGTGACTTTGAAGGCTAATCTGGTCATCTGAGTACTCAGGCCTTCTTTCTTTTCCACAAGATCTTCTTTCTAGGGACTCAGTCCACCTACAGGAGGAAAAGAGATCGGCAGGAAGGATGGTGCTTGACTGCCTAACAAATTGTTATCAGGTAAAAAGAAAAAGTATACCTCTCTTCTACTTGTATTGACCAGTGAGATATTTCCTTCTAGACAGACATCTCTTGAGCTGCTTATAGCATAGCACTCACCCAAGGACCCAAGGATTGAGTCCTCTGTTGAAGTTGCCAGGAAATGGAGCCTTTCTTTTTCAGTGAGGTGGTAGCTTAAAATTCATCCTGATTTCTCAGTAATAATGAATCTTTAACTTCCTGGTGGCAACTGTATGTTTCTTTATTATTATTATTTTTAAATATTATTTTTATTTTATGTGTATGAGTGTATTGCCTGCATGGTAAGTGCACCTATGTTGTGCAATGCCTGCAGAGGTCAAAAAAGAGCATCAGATCCCCTGGAAATGGACTTATAGGCAGTTGTTAGCTGCCATGTGGGTGCTGGAAACTGAACTTGGGTCCTCTACAAGAGCAGCCAGTGTTCCCAACTGCTGAGCCATCTCTCCAGTCCCTATTAGTATTATTATTACTATTATTTACTACTGTTACACTTAGTTAGTGTGTGTGTATACACAAACTTGCTATAGTGGTTTCCGTAGTGTAGTGGTTATCACATTTGCCCAACACATACTTGCTATAGCATGTGGGGTGATCAGAGGACAACTTACCAGAGTCAGTTCTTCCTTTCTACCATGTGGGTTCCAGGGACCAAACTCAGGTCATCAGGCTTGGCAGAAGGAATTTTACCTGCTGTACCATCTTGCTGGCCCATGGCCAACTGCACATTTCTTATTTTCTGACAAGGCAGATGAAAGCATTCTTTATTCACATATTAGCATTCATGGGCAGTGTTCTCAAATCAAGGGAAATAGTGTGAGCTTTCTGTGTGCAGTTGTGCTTCACTCAATTCACAGTCTTCAGGACAATGTGACTCCTGAAATAAAGACAGTGAGCAGGGCTGGCATCGTAACTCAGAGGCCTCCACTTGCCTAGCATGCTCAAGCTAGGTTCCATCTCTAGCAGGGAAAAAGGGGCATGGGGGCTGTGACGATGGCTCAGTACATAAAGGGCTTCCTGTGTAAACATGAGAACCTGAGTTTGGATCCCCAACACCCACATAAAAACTGTGCATGGCTACAAATGACTGAAACCTCAGTGCTGGGGGTGAAGATAGGTGTATCCCAGGACTCTCTGGCCAACCAGTCTAGTCTGAAACAGCAATCTCCAAGTTCAATGAGAGAGCCTGTCCTCACTGAACCCTCATGTAGATAATGGGAGGCCATGGAATCTTCTAGAGGCATTGAGTCCCACTTCTCATTCTCCTGTGATTATTGGTGGAAATCTTACTTGGCTCAAACCAGCATGTCTGTGACATTCCAGGAGTTAGTGAGCTTTGAGGATGTGGCTGTGGACTTTACACAGGAGGAGTGGACCTCACTGGACCCAGCTCAGAGAAACCTATACAGAGATGTGATGCTGGAGAACTACCAGAATTTGGCCACAGTAGGTAGGACTGCCATTGTTCCTTGCAGACTCTCATAGATTGACTGTGTCACAGGAATGGTGATGTTAGCTCTGAATCTAGTGGGAAATAAGACAGACAGTCCCTGTAGCAAGTACATTTTATCTACTGTTGTGGTCCTCAGAATGTCCAAGCTCAGTACATTTTCCCCCTCTTTCCACCACTGTACGCTAAATCAGGTGCCTCATTGTAAAACCCCATCATTTGTGTGTCAATAAGTTGTCTTGGGAGCTGGAATGATGGCTAGAAATAGGGGCTAGAGAGATGGATCAGCAGTTAAGAGCACTGGCTACTCGTGCAGAGGACCCGGGTTAGATTCCCAGGATTCTTGGGGTACCTAACAGCCATCTGTAACTCCAGTTCCAGGGGATCCGACTCCTTCTTCTGGCCTCCATAGTTATTGCTTGCATGTGGTGTGCACTTAAATACATGCCGGCAAAACACTCATACACATTAAAAAAATAATGTTGTCTTGGAGCTGGAGAAATGACTTAGTGATTAAGAGTACTTGCTGTACATGAGGAACTGAGTTTGGGTCCTGTCACGTGTAACAAGCTGGGCATGGTCTCAAATGCACCTGAAACCCTAGTGCTCTGGAGGATGGAGATAAGGATCACTGAGGCTTTTGCCTGTCAGCTTAGCTGGAAAACTGCAAGTCCAAAGTTCAAGAAAAGACTCTGCCTCAAAGGAGTAGGCAGATAGTGATAGAGGAGGACACCTGACATCCTCCTCTGGCCTTTGCATATGGATACAAGTGTGCACACCTGCACACATATATACACATACACCCCCACATTTAAAAGATTAAGTAAAAGAATTTAAAAAAGGGGGGGGTGCTGGAGAGATGTCTTGGCAGTTAGGAACACTGACCGTTCTTGCAGAAGACCCGGGTTCGAATCCCAGCATCCACATGGCAGCTAACAACTGTCTGTAACTCCAGTTCCAGGGGATCTGACAGCCTCTTCTGTCCTCCATGGGCATTGCACGACAGGGGTGCACTTACCTACATGCAGGCATAACATTCATACATGTAGAATAAAAATAAATAAAATATAAAAAAATGATTAAAGAAAAGGCTAGAAAGATGGCTCAGTTGATAAGGTGCTTGATGCTCAAGCATAAGGACCTGAGTTTGATCCCCAGCATTCATATAGAGGGTGGACATGATGTTGACCTCCACACACGTACATGTATACATACACAAAGGTGAAAAGTGAATAAATAAAAATGTGTTAAAAATTTTTAATTTTTATATGTTATGAGTGTTTTGGTTGCATATATGAGGCCAGAAGAAGGCATTGGGTCCCCTGGAACTGGAGTTACAGACTGTTATTATCTGTCATGTGGGTGCTGGGAGTTGACTGGGTCCTCTGCAAGAGCAGCCAATGCTCTTAACCACTGAGCCATCTCTCTAGCCTCAATAAAAATTCTTTAGGAATTCTCTTGATGACTCTGACGCTATTTGTGAACCACTTGGATAGTTGTTTCCCCAGAGAAACAAAAATCTTTTTCTTGCAATTCTCTTTATTTCCTATTTTATATTTGTTTATTTATATTTTTTGGTGTTTTTGAGACAAGGTCTCCCTTCAGCTGGCCTGGAATTCACTATATAGACCATGGTGACTTTGAATGCAGAGATCCACCTGCCTCTGCCTCCTGAGTGCTGGGATTAAAGGCATGCACCACCAAGCCTGGCTATTTCCAATTTTAATAAAAGTAAAGCCTTTGGCTGAGCTATGACTCCATGGTACAATACTTACCTGGCATGTGAAGGGCCCTTAGTTTATTCCCCAGCACTGTAAGAGGAAAGCCCCAGTGCTTTGTAAATGTCTATAGAAGACTGAATTAACTGGGGTTTTCAGAGACAGAGGAAACCAAACTTTTGAACTGTATACGTAGGTGACACTTGAATGATTAGTCCTTTGGAAATAATTTCCCTGATATAATTAGAACTCTAGCTCCTAGCTGGGTTTGGTGGCATATACCAGGAATTCAAGCACTTGGAAGGCTGTGGAGGAAGACTGATGTGAGCTTGAGGCTAGCCTGGGCTATATAGATACTCAGTTCAAGGTCAGCCTGTCTCAAAAGACTGAGGGGAAAAAAAACAAAACATCAAAATTCTAATTCCTGAACCCCAGGCAGCTCTATCTTTTTGAGACCCAGTTGACCTGGAACTCGCTATGTAGACCAGGCTGACCTTGAACTCACAGAGATCCACTTGCCTCTGCCTCCCAAGTGCTGGTTCTATATTTTTTGTATGAGCCTTTCCACTAATCTGTCTTTCCTTGTGTATAGGATGTCAGATCATTAAACCCAGTCTGATCTCTTGGTTGGAACAAGAAGAGTTTAGTACAGGGCAGAAGATAGTTTTCCAAGGTCAGTATTCCTGGAAATTGTTTAATGAGTTCAGTATGTTTGCAGCTATAATGAAACTTTAAAAACAAATCCTTGTTCTGGACCAGTGAGATATCTCAGAGGATAAAGGTACTTGCTGTCAAGCCTGACAACCTGAGTTCAATCCCCAGAATCCACATGGAAGGAGGGAACCAACTCCAGCAAGTTGTCCTCTGACCCCTCCTTCCATGCTAATGACAAGTATGTGTGTGCACACATAATGAATAAATAAATAAATGTAATAATAATTATATTAGTTACTTTTCTGTTGCTATGATAAAACACCATGACCACTGGGCATGGTGGTGCACACTTTTAATCCCAGCACTTGGGAGGCAGAGGCAGGCAGATCTCTGTGAGTTCCAGGCCAATTGGGGCTACAGAGAGACCCTGTCTCAAAAAGACAAAAACCAAAACTAAAACCAAAACAAAACAAAAAACACCATGACCAAGGGAACTTATAAAAGGAAGAGTATATTTGAGCTTATGGTTCCAGAGGAATCATGGCAGGGAGGTATGGTGGCAGGAGATGGCTGGAGCAGAAAGTAGAGTATTCATTCACATCTTCAAACAGGCACAGGAAGCAGAGAGTGACTGGCAAGACTTAAGAACTCTCAAAGCCCACCCCCAGTGTCACTCCCTGCAACAAGGCCACACCTCCTAAAACCTTCCCAAACAGCACCACCAACTGGGAATAAAATGTTCAAATACTTGGAGCCTATGGGGGACATTCTCATTCAAACCAACACAAAAATAAAAGAAATATACAATTAGCACTTTGAAGGTAAAGATTCATTATTACTGAGAAATTAGGATGAATTTTAAGCTATGTAACCTTAACAGGAGAGCGGGTACGAGTGCATACACACACACACACACACACACACACACACACACGTTTGTATCTGTGTGGGCATATGGGTGTGCCACAGTGGGTGTGTGGAGGTCTGCAGATAATCTTGGGTGTCAGTCCTTGTTTTCTATCTTTTTGCAGCAGAGTCTCTTTGTTCAGCACTGCACGTGCCAGGCTAGCTGGCCAGCAGGCTTCAGGAAACTGTACCTCCTATCTTAGCATAGATGCACTGGACCTACAGACACATGCCATTATGCCCAGCTTTACACCACTTCTGGGAATCTGAACTCAGATCCTCATGCTGTGGGACAGGCACTTTACCCACTGAACCATCTCCTTAGCTTTTGTAATAAAGCTTTTGTTGATGAAATGTATCTCAGAAGGCTGAAGCAAAGAGAAAACTCTTCTACTTCCCATACTTTCAAAAGTTACAAAATCACCAATTTCCAGTGCTGTTTTACTTTATTCATACTAAGCTTTTCTTTAAGTTTATTGCTTTGAGAGATGCTCTTTTTCTGGAAATCTACTCTCTTTGCCTGATAATTTCTTTCTTTTCACTGTCAGTTTTAATTGTCATTGAATCAGCTTGTACTATCAAAAAATTTGACGCAATGTCCTTGTCTTTGAAAAGCATGATGGCACACTCAGGAAACTGAAGCAGGAACGTTATGATATATCAACAGCAGCCTAGGCTATGTAATGAATTAAGGCTCGCCTGGGCTACCTAGTGAGACCCTGTTTCAAAACAACACAAATAAAAATCATCAAACCTCTGTTTCTACTTTTTCTATATTTTAAAATTTAAAAATAGGGGCTGGAGAGATGACTCAGTGGTTAAGAACACTGGCTGTTTTTGCAGAAGACCCAGGTTCGAATCCCAGCACTCACATGGCAGCTAACAACTGTCTGTAACTCCAGTTCCAGGGGATCCGATAGCCTCTTCTCTCCTCCTCAGGCATTGCACGACATGGGTGCACTTACATACATGCAGGCAATATGTGTGTACACATAAAGTAAAATTAATAAATAAAATACTAAAAAAAAAATTAAAAAGTAGAAATCAGCCTTAAAAAAAACCCCCAAAAAACAAAAAAGAACTACATTTGTCTTTCATTTCTTTCTCCAAATTCTTACATTTGTTTTTCTGCTTTACTTCAGAATGGAAAATGCAGCTTGAAGCCAAATGTTCAACACTTCAACAGGATTTTTTGAGGGGTAACAAATCTAAGGGGATACAAATGGTAAGGAAAAGAAATGCATCTTATTTTCATTCCCAAGAAAATTAGAGGCTAAGCATATACCTCTTGTAAAGCACCTATTTGGCATGCTCAAAGCCCTGTGCTTGATTACAGTACTTCAGGGACTGAGGAGATTCCATTATAAGAGATATTTGAGAAAGGTAAATATACCCAAGAAGGAGGGTCTCTGAAAAAAATAATCTGAAACTCATGAATTTAGGGGTACCCTGAACCTGTAATGAAACTCACTGCTTCAGAATTTATGCAAATTACATTCCCACATATTAACATTTCGTTAAAAATTATATTGGGCCGGGTGTAGTGGCACATGCCTTTAATCCCAGCACTTGGGAGGCAGAGGTGGGCAGATCTCTGTGAGTTCAAAGCCAGCGTGGTCTACATAGTGAGTTCCAGGCCAGTTGGAGCTACAGGGAGACCCTGTCTCAAAAAGACCAAAAAAGATTATATTGGAATGGTACAGAAATCTTTTATTTATTATCAATTGAAAAAAAATTTAATTTATTTTTATTTTATGTGTTTGAGTGTCTTTTCTGCATGAATGTAAGTGCACACTATGTGCCTGCAATGCCTGTGGAGGCTAGAAGAGGTCATTGGATCGATCCCTTTGAACTGGAGTTACAGATGGTTGTTAGCCGCTATGTGGGTGCTGGGAACCAAACTTGAGTTTTCTGGAAGAGGAATCAGTGCTATTAATCACTGAGCCAGATCTTTCCAATCCCTTTTATTTTGTTTTCAATTAAATTTTTTTTCTTTATTTGTATTTTATGTGTATGAATGTTTTACCTGCATGTAAGTGCACCTGTGCATGCAATGCCAGAAGAGGGCATCAGATCCCCTAAAACTAGAGTGATAGACCTTTGTTAGCCACTGTGTGAGTGCTGGGAATTGAACCTGGGTCTTCTGGTAGAGCAGCCAGTGCTCTTAACTTCTGAGCCATCTCTCCAGCCCCCACAGAAATCTTTTAAAGATTAGACTAGATAGCACAACATTCTGAAGTGTTCAGTCACACCACTTGAGAGCAGTTAATAGAGCAGGAACTGTATGCATGTAGTCATAATATTTCTGTTGTCAATTGGTAGAATCTTACCAACTTGCTTCAGAGAAATATGTTATTCATCTCTCTTATCAACAGGCAGGAAGCCACAGTGGAGGGGAGCTCTGTGATTGGAATCAATATGGAGAATTCTTCAGTGAACTCTCATGCCTTAAGACACACATGAAAACTCAAAGTACAGAGGGTAATTACAATTGTAGTAGTCATTATGGAAAAGACTTCTTTATTCACAAAAAATCCTCTACGGGTGAGAAACTTTCTGAGTTCAATCAGAGTGAAGAAATCTGCATAGCCCCAATTAAGGTTTACCAGAAAATTGCCACCCAAGACAAATCGTTTGACTGTGGTGACTGTGGGAAGTCCTTCATTAATCAGTCACACCTTGAGGCACATAGAAGAATTCACAATGGAGACAAACTTTATGAATGGAATGAATATGGGAGAAGTTTTATAAACTCAAGACTTTCTGTGCTTATAGAAACCCTCAATGCAAAAAAACCTTACAGATGTAAGGAATGTGGGAAAGGCTATAAGTACCCTGCATATCTAAATATTCACATGCGAACTCACACTGGTGAGAAGCCCTATGAATGCAAGGAATGTGGGAAAGCCTTCAATTATTCCAATTCATTTCAGATACATGGAAGAACTCACACAGGAGAGAAACCCTATGTATGTAAGCAGTGTGGGAAAGCCTTCACTCAATACTCAGGCCTTAGTATACATGTAAGATCTCACAATGGAGACAAACCCTATGAATGTAAGGAATGTGGGAAAGCCTTCCTTACATCCTCACGACTTATTCAACATATAAGAACGCACACAGGAGAGAAACCTTTTGTGTGTGTCAAATGTGGGAAAGCCTTTGCTATTTCTTCAAATCTTAATGGACATTTGAAAATGCATGCCGAAGAGAAGACCTGTGAGTGCAAGATATGTGGGAAAGCATTTGGATATCCTTCATGTCTTAATAATCACATGCGAACTCACAATGCCAAAAAATCATACATATGTAAGGAATGTGGGAAGGCTTTTAACTATTCCACCCACCTTAAAATCCACATGCGAATCCACACTGGAGAGAAACCCTATGAGTGCAAACAGTGTGGAAAAGCGTTCAGTCATTCCACTTCGTTTCAAATACATGAGAGAACCCACACTGGTGAGAAGCCGTATGAATGTCGAGAGTGTGGGAAAGCCTTCATCTGTCCCAGTTCCTTCAGAATTCATGAAATAAGTCACACTCACACTGAGGAGAAACCCTATAAGTGTCAGCAGTGTGGAAAAGCCTACAGTCATCCTCGTTCACTTCGAAGGCATGAAAGAACTCACTACTGAGAAGGCCAATCAATATAAGCAATGTGAGAAAGCATAACTTGTTCCAGTTTACTTTGAAGACATGACTATTCACAGTGGAGAGAGACTGCTAAAAATTATATACATAGCTAGGAGCAGTTCTGTGTGCCAGATGCTTAGGAGACTGAGGCTAGAGGATCAGTTCAAAGCCAGACTGGGCAACATAGATCCCGTGTCCAAAAGATTAAAATGAGGGCCAGTGAAATGGCTCAGTGGCTAAAAGCTGTTGGCGCACAAGCTTGAGTATGAATTCAATCCCCAGAATCTGTGTAAAAAAGCTAGATGCAGGGGCTGGAGAGATGGCTCAGCGGTTAACGCTGGTTGTTCTTGCTGAAGACCTGGGTTTGAATCGCAGCACCCACATGGCAGCTAACAACTGTCCATAACTCCAGTCCCAGGGGATCCCACAGCCTTTTCTGACCTCTGTGGCATTGCATGACATGGGTGTACTTACCTACATGCAGGCAATACACACACATAAAATAAAAATAATAAATAAAAATTAAAAAGCTAGATGCAGCAATCTCAGCACACCTACAGCAAGATGGGAGGCAGGGATAGGAGAATTATCTGAAAGCTTGCAGATCAGCTGGCCAGGAGTATGCAGCATACTGGAAAGAACAAGAGATCCTGCCTCAACAAGGTGGAAAGAAAGGACTAGCTCTTGATAGTTGTCCCCTGACCTCCAAATGCATGCACCCCCACATAAACATACAATAATAATAATTTTTTTAAAATGAGGGCCAATGAGATGGCTCAGTGGGAAAGCATTTACCACAGAAGCCTAATGACTTGAGTTCAATCCCCGAATCTGATGTTATAGAGAGAACTCCCAAAGGTTGTCCACTGACCTCCACATGCACACCATGACATGCATGCACCCAACACATAAACAGTAACACTAAAATTAGAAATTAAAACGAATAAAAGAAAATGATTGCCATGAATCCCTAGTGCATTATGACTGGAGTCCTCACAAGGTAAAACTGCAGCAGGGATACACACAGACTCTGTGAAGTCTTTGGAAGCTGGCCGCCTGTGAGCAGAGGCTCTGCTGAGGGTTGTACAGGAAACCCCTTGAGTTATGGATGTTTGACTTCCAGCCTCCATATTGCAAGAAATAAGTTTCCATGTTTAGGCTGCCTACCTCGTCTGTGTTACTTCTTTGTTTTTTGTCTTTTTTTTTTTTTTTTTTCGGAGCTGAGGACTGAACCCAGGGCCTTGTGCTTGCTAGGCAAGTGCTCTACCACTGAGCTAAATCCCCAACCCCTGTGTTACTTTTTTATATCAGCTCTAGAAAAAAATAAAAGGAAAAAACTTTAGATTACTGAAAAGCTTTAATCACATGCAGAGCTGAGTGCAGTACCCATGACTGTAATCCTACAAGTTGGGAGGTAGAAGCAGGAAGATCGTGAGTTTAAGACCTATATTACATGGCGGGTCTTGTTTTCTCACTTCCTTTTTTTCCCCTTCAAGATTCTTTATTTTAAAATGAAGTCTCAAGGGCTGGACATGTGACTCAGCAGTCAAGAGCACTTGCTACTCTTGCAGAGGACCCAAGTTGGCTTCTCAGCACCCATAAGGTGGCTCCAGTTTTAGGGGATCTGATGCCCTCTTCTTGCATCTGCAGGCATTAGGCGCACACATGATACACATACATACATACGTACAGGCAAAACAAAAATAAATCTTTAAAAAAAAACATAAACGGGGCTGGAGAGATGGCTCAGCAGTTGAGTACTGACTGCTCTTGCAGAGGACCCGGGTTCAATTCCCAGCACCCACATGGTGGCTACGAATCATTCTTAACTCCAGTTCCATGGGAATCCAAAGCCCTCTTCTGACCTTCGAGGCATTGCACGGCACGGTGCAGTCACATACATGCAGGCAATACACTCATACACATAAAAATAATAAAAATATTTTTTAAAAACATAAATAACTTGGAGGTGATAGCTTAAGGCTGAGGCCAGAAAGATAAGGCGTTCAAGACCAGTGTTGTCTACATATCGACTTTTAGGTCAGCTTGGGCTCCATAAGATCCTGTCTCAAAAAAATATATATAGCTCTGCTTCCTGTGCCTACTCGAAGATGTGAGCTCTCAGCTTTCTACTCCAGCCCCCTGCCATGATGGATTCTGATCTCTCTGGAACCATAAGTCCAATAAACCCTTATATAAAAACAAGGGTGTGTGTGTGTGTGCTGGAGAGATGGCTCAATGATTAAGAACACTGGTTGCTCTTACAGAGGACCTGGGTTCAACTCCCAGCACCCACCTGGTGGCTAACAACTTTCCATAATTCCAGTTTCTGGGGATCCAATGCCCTCTTCTGACCTCTGTGGGCATTGCATAACATATGCAGGCAATACGTTCATATACATAAAATAAAAATAATAAAATATTAAAAAGATATATAAAATAAAATGGTGTAGTGGTGCATGTGTGTCATTCCAGGACTTGTGGCCGCAGGAGAATTAGGAGTTCCAAGTCACCCTTGGCATAGTGAGTTCCAGGCCACTCTGCGCTCCATGAGAGCCTGTCTTAAGAACAAAAAACACAAAGCTGGGCTTGGTGGTGCATGCCTTTAATCCTAGCATTCAGGAGTCAAAGGCAGGCAGATGTCTGTGAGTTTGAGCCAGCCTGGTCTACATAGTGAGTTCCAGGCAAGCTAGGGCTACAGGGAGACCCTGTTTCAAAAAGACCAAAACAAAACAACCCAAACAAAATTCTCCCCAAGTAATTAAACCCTTCCAAAAGAAGATTTATTTTTAATTAATTAGTTTTGAGACTAGTTCTCCTTGTAGCCCCAGGCTATCTATCTATCTATCTATCTATCTATCTATCTATCTATCTAGACCAGGCTGGCCTTGATCTCATAGAGATCTGTCGGCCTCTACTCCTGAGTGCTAGGATTAAAGGTGTGTGCCACCATGCTCAGATGGAAGGCTTTTATATAGTCTACAGCCTTAATATTCACATGTGAGGTTACAGTTGACAGAAACTGTACAGGTGCAAACAATGTGGAGAAGCCCTGTTTATGCCAAGTCAAGTGCATGAAAATACTCAAATTGTGGAGCGCCCTATCAATTTAAGAAGTACAATAAACACTTCAACTTATAGTTCCTTTTGGGGATTTGTTTATTTACTTATGTGTGGGAACATACCATGTCATAGCATGCACGTGGAAGTCAGAGGACAACTCATGAGAGTTTGTTCTGTCCTTCCATCATATGGGTCCTGGGGATTGAACTCAGGCTGTCAGCACTGGTGGGAAGCGCCTTTACAGGCTGTGCCATCTTGCCAGTCCTGAGAAAGTGTTCCTTACTGTTCATGTCTGCCAGATTTACTGATTTATCTTGCCTCTTGTGGTTTGCTATTCATTTCTTTCCCAAATTTGGGGATTTTTTTTGTGATGTATTTTCGTTCACTATGTTTTTTCTGTTATTAGTTTAATCTCAACTCCTTCTACACCATGGATTATTTGTTGTTGTTGTTATTTTGGTCTTTTTGTGACAGGGTCTTTCTGCAGCCCCAGCTGGCCTGGAATGTGATATGTAGATAGACTGGGCTGGCCTTGATCTCATAGAGATCCACCTGCCTCTGCCTCCAGAGTGCTAGGACTAAAGGCATGTGCCACCATGCTCAGCAACCCCATGGATTCTTATGTTTTATCTATGTTTTCATCTCTGAGAGTTCTTGAAGATTGTGCTCATGGTGGTTTTATTTTCGTTATTGATATCTGAATGTGGTGTATCCTCGATGTTAATTATCTTCAATATCTGATATTCTTTTGACCTAATATATTGGTAGTGATTTCCATTAATGTTTTTTTTTGTTTTGTTTATTTGTTTGATTTACTGAGCTTTTATTGTCAATATTTCTGGTATTTTCCCCAAATCTCAAATTCTTGCTGACTTTCTCAAACTCATTTTTGACTTTCTTGCCCAGTTCCTGAATTGATTTCCTTACTTAATTCAGCTGCTAGTTTGAATTCTCTTTGACTTCATTTGATCACTTTGAAAACTAGACTTTGGAGGACTGGCAAAATGGCTCTGTGGGTAAAGGCATTTGCTGCTAAGCTTGATGATCTGAGTTGAATCTCCTGAGCTCACATGGTAGGAGAGAACTGACTCTAAGTTGCCCTCTGACCTCCACACATGTAAATGCACACACACACACACACACACACACACACACACACACAGAAAATGTAAAAAAAAAATTCAGCCTAGACTTTTGATCTTTTTTGTCTAACATTTCAATCATTTCAGTATGTTTAAAGTCAGTCATTGAAGAGTCATTATCTTTTGCCTTGGTTTTCATGTTTCTTGTGTTTCTGAGCTGTAATTTGTGCATCTGTTTGGATGGAGAGCTCTTCTGATTTTATTAGTGAGCAGCATTCTCTTTAGGGCCCATCTCTAGTACCACTCAGAAGAAAAAAATATATAAACCAAAAGAAACCAGATACAGAAATACAATTAGAATCAATAAAGCTTGACTATGCCACCAATGACCATATAAAAGAAAAATGGCTAAAATAATGTAATAAGATAAAAATGGGTATAACAGTGAGTCATTAGGAGTCAGTTTAATACTATGTTTATTTTGTAGAATAATGGTATTAGGCTCTCCTCTATGGCCTGTGATCTGTCTAGCCACAGTTTCCTAGGCCTGATATTAGTGTCATGTATGGGCTCTATCTTGTGAAGTGGACCTTAAACACAATAAAAAAGTGTTTGGTTACTCCCATAATATTCACATCATTACCGTGTTGTTGTTGTTGTATCTCACAGGATTTACAGCTGGGCAAGACTGATGATTATTTTTTCTCTTCTGGTAGCATGTATAGCAGCTTCCAACCCTATGAAAGCTATCCAGTAGAGATGAAGCTTTGAAATTAGTGCTAGCTTGATTTCTCCTTGTTTGTTCTATAACTCATATGTCTTTGGCAATAGGGTCTGACCATCAGGTTCTGGTGGGTAACCAAGAGCAAGAGCAATGGCCAATAATTTTTGAGGGTCTATGGGCCCCCTGTTCAACAGTTTCAAAAGAGGGAGTCTATTCCTGGCATTGGGATTTTACTTTACTAGCCTATGGTGTGTAGTAGGGACAGTATCCGCCCATTATAGGGTAACTCATTTTAACTTTTTAAATATTTTATTATTTTTATTTTATGTGTATGTGTGTATTGCCTGCATGTAGGTAAGTGCACCCGTGTTGTGCAATGCCCACAGAGGACAGAAGAGATTGTTGGATCCCCAGGAACTGGAGTTATGGATAGTTGTTAGCTGCCGTGTGGGTGCCGGGATTTGAAACTGGGTCTTCTGCAAGACCAGTCAGTGTTCTTAACTGCTGCACTATCTCTCCAG